CCCTTCTCGCACCCCCACCACCACAGCTTACTTTGTGCTGCCGGCCCGCCCCTACTTCTTTTCAGACTTCCCACGAATCTCTGATTCGCGGGAAGCAGGGGAGGGGGTAGAGCGTTCAGGGGAGGAGAGGAGGGGGAAGTGAGCTGGGGGCGGGGTGGAGAGCTGCAGCGCGGGGCCCTCTTGGCGCGGGGCCCAATTCAGCCGAATTGGCTGAATCGGCCTAAAGCTGGCCCTGAGCACAGACCAGACCCTTTTTTTAGGACACTAAAAACCAATCAGATTCTTAAAAAAACGGAACTTTATTACAAAGGAAAAAAAAGTTAAAGAAGCACCTCTGCAAAATCAGGATAGAAGATAATTTTACAGGGTAATAAGATTTAAAACACAGAGGGTTCCCCTCTAGGCAAAACTTCAAAGTTACAAAAACAGGGATAAATCTCCCTCTTAGCATAGGGAACATTCCCAAGCTAAAACAAAAGATAATCTAACACATTTCCTTGCTATTACTTACTATTTCTGCAATATTAGATTTATCATTTCAGTAGGAGCTGGATTACTTGTTTGGTCTCTCCCTTTGTCTTGGGGAGATCCCCCCATACAACACAAAGCAAAAACCTTCCCCCTTAGATTTGAAAGTATCTTCTCCCCCTATCTTCTATTGGTCCTTTTGGTCAGGTGCCAACCAGGTTATTTGACCTTCTTAATCCTTTACAGGTAAAGGAGGGATTTTATGCTACCTGTAGCTGTATGTTCATGACAGGGTGGGAGAGAGCAAGCCACCAAGGGAGGGGGAATGTAGTGAGCAGGGGGAGGAGTCTCAGGGAAGGGGCATGGCTAGGTTGTTTGGTTTTGTGTGATTAGAAAGTTGGCAACCCTATTCTCTGACTATCCATTGGTGCAGGTGTCCCCCCGATTCCAATGCAGGGGAAGCCTGCAGTAGAGCAGGGCCACTTCTGAGGTAACCCCAGTGGTACCCACACTGCTGTCCTCCCTACAGAAGGGGCCTGGCTTTGTGCCTGCCTCCACCCTGGATAACACAGCAGATGAGTGACCTGGGGATCTACACAGCTAACTGCATGTGGCTCTACAGTGTGAGTTAAAGAGACAGACTGTGCAGCTGGGACTGTGACAGACTCACGTGCTGTGTGGATCAGGCCCAGAGGGGACCCATCTCACAACCTGGCCAGTGGGTGTCATGTGGGCCCTTTTCTACAGGGTCAGCTTGGCCGGAAGCCACCTACCTCTGTAAGTGACACTGCCAAGTGACACAGATGGGGCTGGTAGTGGCTTTCACAGACACCAGAGGGTGTTATCAGATACCTGCTCCCCCTCCCCTGACATCAATGGGAAACCATCACATTAGTAGATATTACAGTAACATATATAGGGGCAGATGGGCAGGAGGGGCCATCTCAGCTCTGCACAGAGGCTCATGTATCCTGCCCCCAATTCTCCGGCCTGTGTACACAGAGTCAGACGGGATGGACACAATGGGTTCTTCTGGCCTTAGCATCTGTGGATCTATTTCTGTTTCACACCCAGCTCCCTCCATGCCCAACCATCATGTGCGTAGTGCATTGAAAACTGTATTGGAATTGTAAATCATCACAATAAATACTATGTGGGTTTTCCTGGTCTTGCCGGCAGCCAGGGGTCTCTGAAGGAAAGTGTGCAATCTATGTCCAACAGAAGCCTAGAGAAAGGAAGGGTGATCTGGGCCTCTAAGCCTTATGGAGCAGCCTGCTTTCTCTCTCTGTGTTTTGGGTCCTTATGTGTTATCATTCTGCATTCTAAGGGCTGGTCTACACTGGGGGGGATCGTTCTAAGATAGGCAACTTCAGCTATGTGAATAGCGTAGCTGAAGTCGAAGTATCTTAGATCGATTTACCTTGGGTCCTCACAGCGTGGAATCGATGGCCGCGGCTCCACCGTCGACTCTGCTACCGCCGCTCGCTCCGGTGGAGTTCCAGAGTCGATGGGGAGCGCGTTCGGGGATCGATATATCACGTCTCAACAAGACACGATATATCGATCCCCGATAAATTGATCGCTACCCGCTGATACGTCGGGTAGTCTGGACGTACCCTAAGTATTAAAGCCATGTTATACTGCAGCATTCTGCCAGAGGATTTTTGCTACAGGGGGAGGGATAGCTCAGTGGTTTGAGCATTGCCTTGCTAAAACCAGGGTTGTGAGTTCAATCCTTGAGGGAGCCATTTGGGGCAAAAATCTGTCTAGGGATTGGTCCTGCTTTGAGCAGGGGGTTGGACTAGATGACCTCCTGAGGTCCCTTCCAACCCTGATATTCTATATTCTAACTCCTCCTCTGTGTCTGCCGGGAGCATAACAAAGGGGACCTTGTCTCCAACAAGACCTCCCTTCATTGCCTATCCAAGGTCACTGGGGAATGACATGAACTGCCAGAGAGCAGGGTTAAGGCCTAGGGACTGCCAGGGCCTTCACTGGGGGGGACATGTCCGGCTTTTTCAGTGTTAAATGGCCATCCGGGGGGGAGATTTCTAATCAAGTAGAAATGTCCAGGATTAACCCCTTCCCCTCCTGCGGAGTGCGGCGCAGCTGATTGGACGCCTGGCCTGATTGAAAGCCACTCGCAGCCACTAGGGCCTCTAGCAGCCAGAGTCCCTCCCCCTCCCCCGCTACCTCCTTCCCCACAGAGCAGCGGCAGTGTTTGATTCCATGTGGAGCCTGCATTTCTCCCTCTGCCGGGTGAGCGGGGGGGGCAGGGCAGGCAGGGGGCGCACAGGCTGCAGGGCGAGTGGGGAGCAGGGGGTGCAGAGGCTGCAGGGGGAGGAGGAGCAGGGCAGGCAAGGGCATAGAGGCTGCAGGGGCAGGGCAGGCAGGGGGCGCACAGGCTGCAGGGCGAGTGGGGAGCAGGGGGTGCAGAGGCTGCAGGGGGAGGAGGAGCAGGGCAGGCAAGGGCATAGAGGCTGCAGGGGCAGGGCAGGCAGGGGGCGCACAGGCTGCAGGGCGAGTGGGGAGCAGGGGGTGCAGAGGCTGCAGGGGG